GTGGAAGAAAACTTAGTTTGTTGTAGTAGTGAGTAAAATGATGTGGGTGTTAAGTTTATTCTTTGACTATCAATCTGCTTTCATGCTAATAGTTCAATTATCTTTATGTTTCTCAGCAACTTGCTTCGCATGGATTGTTTGATGTGCATGTGAAGGCTACCGGGGACACTCACATTGATGATCATCATACCAATGAAGATGTTGCCCTAACCATTGGAACAGTGAGATTTAGATAATTTTACCCTTTATTTCATAATTTCGCGATCCTATGACTAATGCTTAGACATCATGTGGACCTCATGTGTGTGTTTGCTGGAGAGGATTGGATAGAAGTGATGAAGAAAAAGATGCTAATATCTTGTTTGTAAACTATCTAATTTGGCCAAATAAGGTATATCACACATGTGCTATATGTTCTTTGTCGCTGATCTGTGTGCTGTTGTTTCTGAGATCCCTTCTCGGCTTATGATTTATGGGCATTGCAATGGTCTTGTAATTCCAGCCCTTCATTAATGAGAGTTCGTGACTACATTTACCTTACAACTATCAGTATGGATTTGTTCTTAGTTATTAATCAAAAAGCTGCAGTCAAGTTTTGGTTGATTTTTAGCTTCTATGTTTATACTTCTCCTTGTCCCTGAAGTCACACAATTGTTCTATCTATAGAGAGTGATTTTGTGGTCCAGTAGGTAGGTTAAAGATTCTTGTAATATGTGATGAGTGATTTAAATTTCTAGAAGCCTTCAACTAGTGGATTTTACTTGAAAAAGTCATTTATTTTTTGCCTGAAATTTTTTGGCAGTCCATATTGAAATTGGCAGCTCTAAATGTGTGGATTTATTACATATTGTAATATGTGATGAGTGGATTTATCCATGCAGGCTTTTCTGCGAGCACTTGGTGATAGAAAAGGAATCAATCGGTTTGGAGACTTCTCAGCTCCACTTGACGAAGCACTAATACATGTTTCACTGGTATGGTAACAAACTTCTATGAAGTAACTTTTCGCCAATTTGATTATTTTCCATCAAATTTAAATTTTGAAAGTGTCTGCCATGCGGACTTGGATTGTACGGGATAATCTCTCGCCGGCATCCTTGAATTCTATTTAATCTGTTTAAGTGAGTATGGTGGATTACCTTTATGAGAATGATACTAATCTCATTAATGCAATCAATCTTGGATGCATAGAGGCAAAGTACTAGGTATAACAAGATTAGAATACTTCCTTGACTTTCTGTTGTGGTGTTCGTCCCAAGTTATGTTGTCGGTTTCTGTAATGAAAAATATATGTCTGGTTTAAAAAAGCGGTAGTGAGGTGCGCCTTCACTGTAAGGTTCACAGTATACCTCGAAGCGGTATTTTTTAGGCTAAAATTATGAAGCTCACGCCTCTAAATCTGAAGCGCACGCCTCAAGGCTGGCCTCACTACCGCCTTTTTGCGCACAGTATACCTCGAGGCGGTATTTTTTAGGCTAAAA